TAATAATTTTGATGAACTGTAGCTCAGCAACTTTTAAAGTCCACTACAAGTGTTACCAATGTCAAGATGAATACATAACTTGTCTGTCCTGCAGATTTTATAAATAAAACCAGACAGACAGGCCTGTAAAGACAGTCAGCATCAATAGTGGTAGGTTTCATTCTGACAGTGAAAGAAAACTATAACTACCTTACAGCAACTATGTTAATGGCACTGTCTTCTTTAACATAAAGAAAATTCTTTTAGTATTTGGCCTGTCGCCAGTAACATTTCTGTTGATATGAACTCACCCCACCCTTTACCAGAAATGTAAAACCTTTCCAGTAAAACGATACTGCTGGATCAAAGTAAGAAAACGATAACATAAGTCACTGTAGACATTTTCCCCTATGAATTTCCATGACACTAAAAATATCAAATATACTAATCTAATAAACTCCCTGATCTTTCATTACTAAATTCTTCTTAATTTTCTTCCATCTAAATATCTTATACATGCCTCATTCCCATCTACCTTTTTTGTTTGACAGCAAATATGTCCTAACTTGATTCCTTCTAACATTTTGATCATAACATCCTGCTCACTTTGGTATTCACAGTCTATTGGTGGGTGTATGCATATACCCACAAATCCTTCCTGGGTGTGGCATGTGGCTGTATACTATATATAACAGCAACCTGTTACCCAGGTTATAGAACATAGTTACCAGTCACAGATCAGCAGAACACTTCACCCACATTTGCAAGAACTGAAAGACAAGGTGAGAAAAGTCTTGATGGATCCACAAAGATGTTAACTTTTTTATGAATGTGATGCTGTAAATGTGTACTGTCACACAAAGCGTGCTACAAATAGTACCATTCTATAATTTGCTCTATGCAAAATTGCTTGCATATGTAATTATTACATGGTTTTGGGGCTTCCTAGATATTTCAAAGTCCATAGGGATAATGCAGCATTATACACTCATTGGACAATTTGTTAGTTGCTAGCCCCTGTTCAGTGTTGGGGAGTAACGGAATACATGTACCTCCGTTAC